CAGGTACCCTCAGCCACACTCTGTCTCCCCCTTGTGTTGAGAGCTTCGTGGCGAATTAGGACAGCTTGGGGTGGAGGAGAGGAAGGCTCTATTTCCCAGGTCCTGCCATGATGGCCGGGGTTTGGGGCCCCTCCTTAGGTAGGCCCCTCACTTCAGCTGATGCTGACAGCAGGCCCTGCAGGGGAGCTCGGCCTCTTCCGCCTTCCCAGCCCCGGAGGCTGGCACACGGCCGCTTCCTCTCCAACATTGCAGAGACCCTGTCTGTCTCCTGTGGCTGCTATAACAAATCAGCACAAACCCATTTGGCTTAAAACAGCACAAATTTATCATCTCACAGTTTTGAAGGTCAGAAGTCCTAAAGCCAGGTGTGGGCAGGGCCGGTCCTTCTGGAGGCCCGAGGTAAGGATGGTTTTGGCCGTTTCCAGCTTCTAGAGGAGCCACATCCCTGACTCGTGGCCCCTTCCTCCATCGTCACAGCGTGGCCTCTTCCATCTCCGACTCTGACCTTCCCACCTCCCTCTTGTGAGGACCCGGTGATGACTCTGGGTCCCCAGGATAATCCAGGGCCATCTCCATCTGGAGGTCAACTCATTAGTATCCTTAATTTCATCAGCACACTTAATCCCCTTGCTGCATTAGGAAACATTCAGAGGTTCTAGGAATTAGGACATGGGTGTCTTTGGCGGGACTTGTTCCACTGACCACAGACCCCACCTTCCCTGTTGGTTTTCTCTGTAACAGTGCCCACCTGGGGCCTCTGTTTAACTCTTCCTTGTTTCTCACCCATCGACAGAGTGGTGGGGGTTTTGTCTGTTTTGTTCAAAGCCGTTTCCTGCTAGAACTAGAACAGCACCTGGCACACAATGGGCACCCATTCAATGCTTGTGGAGTGAGTGAGTGAGTGAGTGAATGAATGAATGAATGAATGAATGAATGAACAGATGAATGTCTGGTACTTAACCAACGTGAGACAACTTAACCAAGAGCATAACAGGGCCCCGGACTCGGCTCCTGACCCCATCCGGCACCCAAAGAAGAGTTTTCCAGAAGGCTTCTGGTTTACAAAGTAACTGCTCAGCTGATTTCTCATTCCCCCAACAACGCCCATCACCTGGGAAGGTGGTTACTAATCATGGTGGCTACTGAGTCCCTTTGGCAGAGGAGGAAACAGAGGCTCAGGACATTGAAAGTCTCTGCCCAAGGCAGCAGGGCGGGCTCTGGTGGGGGGGGACCCAGGAGTCTGACTCTAACTCTCGCTGACCCTCTGCTCCATGCAGTGGGTATTACCAGGCCCTAGAGACCCATCTCTGTGCATAGTGGAGACAGAAAGAGAAGTAATGCAGTCCTCCTGGTAACATCGCTGTCCTGGGAGGAGACAAGGCTTTCCAGGCTCAGGCGACACAGCGGGATAGGGTCAGACTGCAACTTCAAGCCGCAACTCAGAAATACCACGCTCTTGCTCAAACCCCTGTGCCCCCACGCCCTCGCCCTGCTCTCACAACTGAGTCTGAGCACTTCGCTGTGGGCTGTAACACCCTGTGTGGTTTCACCCTTGCCGATCCCAGCTCCCATCCCCGGACTCAGACAAGCCCTGGCTACAGCCTCTCTGCTCCTCCGAGCGCCAAGCTTATTCCCATCTTGGGGCCCTCGCCCTGGTGGCTGTCCCCACCTGGAACACCGTGTTTTAGGCTTTGGCCCGTTCGATTCCTGTCCCCCATTCAGCTCTCAGCTCAGACTGGCACCCCCGACCTGCTGGGCCGGACATCAGACCACAGCAGGCCTCCGCTCTCCCTAGACCAGCTACTTTGTGTATTTGTTTCCGTGACTCTTGCCTGCTCTTCCACTCGACACATTGTTCACCAAAAGAAGCCAGGTACAAAAAGCCACTGGACGTGTGATCCACTTATGTGCAATGTCCAGAACAGACACATCCACAAAGACAGGAAGTGGGATAGTGGCTGTCGGGGGGCTGGGGGAGGAGGATGGAGAGTGATCATTAATGGGGGTGGGGTCCTTTTGAGAGGTGATGGGATGTTCTGGGACTAGATAGCGGTGATGGTTGCACATATCTATCACTGTGTGAAAAACATTGACTTGAACACTTGAAATGGGGAAAAATTCACCCCACGGAGGCTGGGATGCGACTGTGCTTAGGGCCCCGCATGGAAAGAGAAAGAGAGACCCGGCGTGCGACTGGAGAGCAGGGTGTCTGTGTGTGGACCAGTCCCCCACCTGCTCCAGACAGGCCCCTGCCTCCTGCCCATGGGGACCACAGCCGCCCTGCCAAAGGTCTCCACGGCCTCCGCTGTGGCTCATCATGCGTGGCGGCCAGGCTCTGCCCTTGAAACGCGTGCTGTCTGTCTACCCAGTCCTTCCCTGTGGGCGGGATGGAGGAAACCCAGGCCCAGGCCAGTCCCCGAGGCTCCAGTGCCCTCGTCCATGTCACCGTAAGCTCGCTGACCCAAAAGCTTTCTGCAGCCTGGGAGAAGGGAGACTTCTCTGCCAAGGGCAGCTCTGAGGCCTCACAGTTCTGACCAACTGGCACAGGGCAGGCTTCGGGGTCTTCAGAGCCAGCAGAAGTCAGCGTCCCACGGAGGACAGGGCTTCGCCCCCCTGGGAGAACCCGGGAGTATAAGGTGCAGAGTTCTGGGTTTGAGTCTTCAATCTGCTTCTCACCAGCTGTGTGGCCCAGGCAGGTCACTTCCCCTCTCTGGGCCTCTTGCTTCCCTGTCTGTAACACAGGCTGACAGTCAGGCTATTTCTTGCTGGGGATGCCTGCTCTCTGCCTGGTCCCCTCTTCAGCAGGGGTCTCACCTGGGGCAATCCTGCCTCCAAGGTCACTGGGCCATGTTTGGGAACATATGTGGTTGTCACACTGAGGATGCTCCTGGCACTGAGTGGGTGGTGCCAGAGCTGCTGCCCAGCACCCCACAGTGCCCAACCCGGCCGTCCACAGAGAGTGACCCGGTCTCTGTGTCAGCAGTGTGCTAGGGGAGAGAACTTCACACCCCCCAGGCCCACTCTGCAGAGGGGAGTGCTGAGGCAGAGAAGGCAGAATGCCTGCTGAGGGCTGCGGTGTGAGCTGGAGGCTGTGCGGGCGGGTGGGCCAGTCTGGTGGAGGCAGGAGAGGCAGACGGTGGATCAGGGATGTATCGGAGGTGGAGCTCAAGGCACCTGGAGACCTGGTGACAGGTTGGCTGGTTGGGTGAAAGAGGACTTTTACTGATTTCAACCCGTGTGAGACGGGGAGCAGGGACCTCTCCTGCCTGCTGCCAGGGGTGAGGTTGGGGTGCTGGGGGCCTCCTGGGAGAGGTCAGGGGTGTGACTGGGTCCTGCGCCGGGAGCTCAGAGGAGACATGATGACTGAGTCACAAAATCAAGAGTCATCAGTGAACAGTGGCATTTAGTCCTAGGAGGACAGCGGGAGAGGGTGGCAGGTCTCTGGGGACGGAGGGGTTCTAGAGGGCCCTAAAAACTTAACCCTGCAGAAGCAGGACTGGAATGCAGACCCCCATCCTCATTGGGACCCAGGAGCCCTGGCTTTCTAACTCGGCCGTAAGACTCGGCCCCCCATGGGGAGGATCCAGGTGGGGGGGGGGGGTTCCTCGCTTGCCTGGGGGGCCAGCCCTTTATCATCTGAGAGTGGCAGAGCCTGAGGGGCACTCAGGCATCTTGGCTGTGGTCCCCTCGAAGTGCTCCACCTGAGACCACATGCCCTCCCACTTTTGGGCCTGGCCAGTGTCCGGGAAAGTGAGGGAATGGGGGTCCTGTGGGCAGAACGAGTCCCCACGGTTCCCTCTCCAAGAACCAGGTGTTCTCCCAAGGTGGGGGAACCAGAACCTTAAGAGGACGTGTCCGAAGCGCCAGCCCAGCTGCAGCTCCCTTTCCCGTGCTCCCCAAGCCCCACAGAGGAGACGGCAGGGCCTTGCCTGCGGGAGAGGTTAGACTCAACAAACTGGGTCACAGCTTGAGTGGCCTCCCGCCTGCCCCACGGACCAGCTGTCCTCTCAACCTGGGAGTAATTATAGAGCTGGAAGTCCAAAGCCCCAGGGGTTCTCTCTTCTTTTGACAGGCTAGGTCCAGAAAGGGTGTGATTTTCATTATGGGTCACACAGCAGCCCATTAGAACTGAGGCCTCCCGCCAGCCTGTCTGTGACTGTATCCCAGTAGCTGCACCCCAGCTCCTCCGACCTTTCATCACTTGAGTACTTTCTGATTTTGTCCTTATCTACATTCTCTGGCAACTGTTTTTTTTCAATTATTTCCAACTTAAAATGTTTGAAAAGTTCCTTTTCATCTCTCAGACCACAGCATCCCCCTCTCAGCCTCTGTGCCTGAACTGCACGGCCACCCTCACCGTATTGCCCCTGCTGTGCTCTCCACAGCTGTGGAGAGCACAGGGTCCCCAGCTGTGCTACCAGGACCCTGTTCTGGCTCTGTAAAAAAAAATTACTGAGTGTTACTTCCCACTTTTCCTTGAGACCTCCCCTGCCACCTCTGATATGCTGTGTGAACCTGAGCTGGTGACTTGAGGTGCTTTGAGCTTCAGTGTCACAATCAGTAAAGTGGGGGTGACAGCAGCACCCCATGAGGTCATTGTTGGAATTAAAGGAGCTAGTGCAGGTGGAGCCCTTAGCCCCAGGTTGGCACAGAGCAGGAACTGTGGAAGTATTCACCATGGTGGTGGTGATGATGATGATGCATTAACTGAGGGTTTAAATGGCATTTCAGGAAGACTAAGGTGGGGACATTAGTACAGAGATTAACCAGTGACATTGGGGTGAAACCCAAATAAAATCATGGAGAGAACCACGCAGGGAAGGTGTTCCAGGTTTCTGGCATAGCACGTGCAAATGTCCTAAGGCAGGACTGTACCTGGCATGCTGGAGGAACAGTGAGGAGGCCTGTGTGGTTGGAGCAGAGTCAGTGAAGGGAAGAGAGGGAGGGGCTGTGATGACAGGGAGGGGGTGGGGGCAGGTTGTGCAGGGCCTGCGGGCCCTGGGAAGGCTTGGAATGTTACTCCAGGGGTGTTTCTCTCCTGCAGAAAGAACAAGCCAGGCAGTTCTGTCCCACAGGGAGTATGTATTTGGGAGGCTGAAAAATATCAGCTATTTCCTCCTGGAGACAGAGCCAGGGAGGTCCAACTCCTTCAGAACAGGCTGCTGAGGTCCTGTCCCCCATTCCTGGGCGAGGGGACAGTTTCCCTTGACCATAGGGAGCAGAACACCAGGGAACTGGGAGTGACCGCAAAGCCGAGGGCAGGTTTAAGGTAGGTATGAAATGGGCTGCTGAACAGGGAACCATCCGTTCTTGCTGTCTTCTCCCTCCTGCCTGGAACACAGCCTTGCCACACACTGTCCGGGGCAGCAACATGGCAGAGAATGACCTTGGAAAACAGCCTCGGAGAAGGATTATGTTTCTTGCAATGCCCAGGTTAGGGTTAAGACAGTTGCAGTGAGAGGGCACAAGCAGCCAGCTCTTGATCCTCAGCGCCCCTACTACGTACCCACACTGGGTTCCTCATGGGGTGACCACATTCTCAGCTACGCAGGCTCTCTTCCCGCCCTCTCACTCCAGTCTCTGCCTCCGTCTTCACGTGCCTCTATTCCCTCTGTGTGTACCTGTGCATGTGTCCAGATTCCCCCCTTGTTATAAGGACACCAGTCATTCCATTAGGGCCACCATACTCCAGTATAACCACATCTCAACTAACCACATCCACAAAGACCCTACTTCCAAATGAGGCCGCATTCATAGGTACCAGGGTGAGGACTTGAACGTGTCTTTTTAGGGGACCCAGTTTTCTCCACTACGAAGTCCAGCTAGCATGTCAGCTTTCCTGGTCTGAAGTCACCTCTTCATCAGCCCTGGTTGCTGTGATCATCCATCCTGCTGCTTCCCCTCACAGCCTCCAGTCTCATTACCTGTGAGGTTTTCTCATTAAACTCTGTTTGAATGGGTCTTAAAATTCTGTGGTGGAGTTTTGGTCAAGTTGTTTCCATGAACAAGTACCGAGTGTCTGGAACGCACTGATGTCCATCAAGCAGGTGCCGTGTCTCAGGCTGGGTTTTGGCTCTGAATAAGGCTCCCTAGATAGTGTGCAGCCCGGTGGGAAGAGAAACAGCAGAAAAGGTTTCCAGATGTGCCTCGATGTCATGTGATGCTCTGCCTCGCACAGACAGGTAACAGAGGGGGCACAAGGTGGGTGGGGGACCTGGTGAGAACTCTGGGGGAGAGGGGGCATGCGGACCACCCGTATCCTCGCCTGACCAATGCGAGTCCCCAGAGGGCAGGACTTACGCCCCTGTCCTGCTGCGGACTCAGAGCCTGCTATAGATACACACCAGGTACTCAATAAATGGGAGGTTTGGGGCACCAACATTTTTTACATTCTACTTGCATGATTTTTCTCCAGTTTGATAAATGCTTTCTTTCGTCATTTTTTTTAATTGAGAACAATTCACAACACATAAAATTCACCCATTTAAGGTACACAATTCAGTGGGTTCAGTATATTTACAAGATTGTAGAAGCATCACCATGATCATATTCCAGAACATTCCATCACCCCCAAAGACACTCCCCATCCCCTTCCCAGCCTCTGACAACACGAATCCACTTTCTGTCTCTGGATGTGCCTGTTCTAGAAATTTCACATCTGTGGACTCACACACTCTGTGGCCTTTGTGTCTGGCTCCTCTTCCTGAACATCGTGTGTTCAAGGACTTTCCACGTGTTGTATCGAGTGTCAGAGCTTCACTCCTTGTCATGGCCGAGTGATATTCCCTGTGTGGATGGACCACCTTGAGTTTGTCCTTTCATCTGTATATGAACACGCAGGTTTTTGCCACTTTTTGCCTAATAGAATGCTGCTGCCGTAGACATGGGTGTACAGATTTTTGTGAGGCTGTGTGTGCTCGGTCCTCTTGGGTAGAAACCCAGGTGTGGGACTGCAGGTACCACGGTGGGTAACGGTTCACGTGAGCACTACTAGGGAGGGCCAAGGAGGCAGAACCCAGGTGCTAAAAATGCCCCCGCCCCCAGGTGCCCATGAGGATGTTGGTGGGGCCCTAGGCCCAGGTTCCGTAGGCTCCGCACCATGACCTGCTGGCTGTGCGTCCTGAGCCTGCAGCTGCTGCTCCTGCCTGCGGCTCCGCCCCCGGCGGGGGGCTGCCCAGCTCGCTGCGAGTGCACCGCGCAGACTCGCGCAGTGGCCTGTCCCCGGCGCCGGCTGACTGCTGTGCCCGACGGCATCCCGGCCGACACGCGCCTGCTGGAGCTCAGCCGCAACCGCATCCGCTGCCTGAACCCAGGCGACCTGGCCTCTCTGCCGCTGCTGGAGGAGCTGGACCTGAGCGAGAACGTGATCGCGCACGTGGAGCCCGGCGCCTTCGCCAACCTGCCGCGCCTGCGCGTCCTGCGCCTGCGCGGCAACTTACTCAAGCTCATCCCACCGGGGGTCTTCACACGCCTGGACAACCTCACGCTGCTGGACCTAAGTGAGAACAAGCTGGTTATCCTCCTGGACTACACCTTCCAAGACCTGCGCAGCCTCCGCCGGCTGGAGGTGGGCGACAACGACCTGGTGTTCATCTCGCGCCGGGCCTTCGCGGGGCTACTGGCGCTTGAGGAGCTGACCCTGGAGCGTTGCAACCTTACCGCGCTGTCGGGCGAGTCTCTGGGCCACCTGAGCGGCCTGGGCGCCCTGCGGCTTCGACACCTGGCCATCGCCGCCCTAGAGGACCAGAACTTCCGTAGGCTCCCTGGTCTGCTGCACCTGGAGATTGACAACTGGCCGCTGCTGGAGGAGGTGGCCCCGGGCAGCCTGCACGGCCTCAACCTCACCTCGCTGTCGGTCACCTATACCAACATCACGGCCGTGCCAGCTGCCGCGCTGCGCCACCAGGCCCACCTCACCTGCCTCAACCTGTCGCATAACCCCATCAGCACCGTGCCCCGCGGGTCCTTCCGCGACCTGATCCGCCTGCGTGAGCTGCACCTGGCCGGGGCCTTGCTGGCCGTGGTGGAGCCACAGGCCTTCCTGGGGCTGCGTCAGATCCGTCTGCTCAACCTTTCCAACAACCTGCTGTCTACGCTGGAGGAGAGCACCTTCCATTCGGTCAACACTCTGGAGACCCTGCGCGTGGATGGGAACCCCCTGGCCTGCGATTGTCGCCTGCTGTGGATCGTGCAGCGCCGCAAGACCCTTAACTTCGACGGGCGGCTGCCAGCCTGCGCCACCCCTGCGGAGGTTCGCGGAGACGCGCTGCGCAACCTCCCCGACTCTGCGCTCTTCGAGTACTTCGTGTGCCGCAAGCCCAAGATTCGCGAGCGGCGGCTGCAGCAGGTCACGGCCACCGCAGGTGAGGACGTGCTATTCCAGTGCCGCGCGGAGGGCGAGCCAGCGCCCACTGTGGCTTGGGTGACGCCCCAGCACCGCGCGGTGACCGTCGCCAGCGCGGGCAGGGCACGCGTACTGCCCGGGGGCACATTGGAGATTCGGGACTCCCGGCCGCAGGACAGCGGCACCTACACGTGTGTGGCCAGCAACGCGGGCGGCAACGACACCTACTTCGCCACGCTGATCGTGCAGCCCGAGCCGGCGACCAACCGGACCCTGGGTGAGGGCCGCAACGAGACGCTGGCGGCGGCGCGCTTCCCACTGGACCTCACCACCATCCTGGTGTCCACGGCCATGGGCTGCATCACCTTCCTGGGCGTCGTCCTCTTCTGCTTCCTGCTGCTCTTCGTGTGGAGCCGGGGCCGCGGGCAGCACAAGAACAACTTCTCCGTGGAGTATTCCTTCCGCAAGGTGGACGGTCCGGCCGCTGGCGCCGGCCAGGGAAGCGCCCGCAAGTTCAACATGAAGATGATTTGAGGGGTCTCGGGGACGACTTCTAAGTGCCCTGACGGGGCTGCGAGCTCCTGGCCAAGCCAGGAGATTCTGTCTCTGTCCCCACCAGCCCCTCTCTGGCCTGTCCGAGGACACCTATGCATTCTCCAGAGGAGTGGCTGTAAGCTGACTCCTGGCAGAACTCCCCCCTCCCCCCTTTTTTTTGTAGAGACCCAATTACAGGACTTTTTTCATCAGTATGTGTCTTTTGCAATTTCTCAAGCGTTTTCTCAAGGTTTCCCCCATGTCTTTCTGGTCCTGAGTGGTCATTGAGAGACCCTAGGGTCCTCACACTCAACAGTTCGCACCTGGAGGCACACAGCTGCTGCCCCCAGAGCCCCTGACAGCTCACACTGGGGGAGATGCCCCCGGAACACTTGAAGGGCCCACTGACTGTATACGGCTCACACCCGTACACCCCACAACTCACACCCAGCACACGTGTATGCACACCCAGGACACAGATGCACAGTTCTAAAGTGGAACACACACGCCTGGCGCCCAGCTGACACTAAACAGGTGTCCCAGATTCCAAAGCTAACCTTGAGCACATGGGGCTCGTGTGAGAGCACAACTCACACCTGGGATAAGCAGCCCACATTTGGAACACACCCAGCTCACACCCGAGTCATACGTAGCTCACACCTGGGACACACTGTACTCCCGCTCAGCTGGCCAGCTCTGGGGGTATCTTGGGGGCTGGGCTAAGATCTTGTTAAGCTAGTCAGGCTCACCCTGAGGGTGTGCAGCATACTAGATGGTCCCTGACATGCTGGCCCCACCCTCACTCCCAGACTCCCTCCCACCAGGGAGGAGTCTCCACTAGCCACTAGGAGAAGCCATTTCCCCAGGTTCTTCCAGCACCCTCAGAGATGCTACTTGGTTATCGAGCCCACACCATGCCAGAGGGGCAGCTTCCCTGGCCCCTGGCTCAGGAGCATAACTTCTGGGGTGTCCTCCAGCAAGCCAGCTGTAGCGACCTTCAGTCCTGAGTCTACACTGCCCCTGAGCCAGCCCCGTGTCCCACTGCTCACCTGGGGAACGAGACCAGAGTGTGGGCGGCTGCCAGGTGCACTGCCTGTGCGCTGAGGTGTCATGTGCACCGCAGAGCAGCAGTGGAGAACGGGCCAAGACAGGGGTTCAGGCTACAGGAGGCCTGGACCTGGTTTGTTGAGAAGGTGACAGAGGCACCTTGGTCTCTGCAACTCTAGGTCCGAAGGGAAGAGTCATAGGCAGACTGTAGCTCAGGTTAAGAAAGTGTTTCCCCAAGGTCACTGCTCTATTGCTCTTCAGAGAGTGAGTTCCCCGTCATTGGAGATAAGCAAGCAGGAGCTGAGGTACTGCAGAAGTATTCAGACACCAGACAGGGCCCGCCCATGGGCCTGCCTCCCCAGCCTGGCTCATGCCCGCACTCTCTCCCACAGCTGACAGCAGTCGGGGCGGGGTGGGGAAGGGGCACAGGAGACCTGTGAGGCCCAACTTCAGCCAGAAGGGGCTTGGCCTACAGCCAGGTTAGGACAGTATTCTCTATGACCTTGGAGGAAGGCTGAAAGCCAGCTGTGTTCCCATCACGCTGGTGACTGAGGACCACCCGAACTCTGGGAAGTGGGCCTGGAAAACCCATTGCTACGACTGTAGAGGCTGGGCCAGTGGACAGGCTTGGTGGTGGAATTGAATCCTGGATCCCTCAAGACCATCTGAGATGAGCTAGAGAGAAGCCAAGTCAGCCCTGGAGGTTCTGAGCAAGGATTCAGACAGCACTCCAAAGGGGGCCTTGGCTGTTGTCTCTGGGCTGCGGCTGGGAAGGGCAGAGGCCCCAACCCTGCCCCATGGGGTGCAAGTGGCTCACATGGGGGAGTGGCAGGCCACTGGCCATGGCCGGCAAGGGTGGGGGCTCCATCCCAACCCTCTTGTGAGAGAGAATCAAAGGGGTGCCAGGCAACTTCACAACCCACAGGAGTTGGGCAGAACCAACTAGTTTTTTCTCTTAGCACTTGCCTGACCTTGGTTGCCATGACAACCCTGAGGGCCTCTCAGAACAACATCCAAGTGCCTTTAGTATCATCAAGAAGGGAGAGGGGTCTGTTCTCAGCCGTGTTAGAATTTACAGACCATCACACACAGTGGAATCTCCCAGTCCCCTCTGCCTGCCCCCTGTCCCAACAGGAACCATTACCCACCCCCTCACCAGTCTCCTTGCTGTATTTGGATGGAATCAAATAAAAATGAAGCCAATTCAATAACAAACCTCTGATTTAAAAAAAAATTATGGGAGGAGTGGGGGCAGAAAGTAGGGATGAGAGAAAAGGGGCTGCTGGGGTCCCCCAGGGGAGCTGCCTGAATCCAGCCCCAAGGCTGACTGAGTCCCGGGTGTTTACAGAGAGGGAGTGACAGGTGGAGAGTTACAGGGTGCACTTCCGGAGCACCCATGCTGTTTCCAGTGCTGCTCCCCTGTATTGACTCCTTTCACGCTGAGGACTCTGTGAGCAGGATCCTGCTATGATCCCATTTTACAGATGGCCAACGGGAGGGTCAGAGGCTGGAGGGCATTTGCCCAGAGTCTCCAGTGAGAAAGAGGCAGGTGCTAAGAGGGTTAGCAGAACCTGGTTGTCAGAGAACCACCTACCCCAAGTTTCCTCTGGGGGCGGAGCCAGCAATGGGGAAGAAAGGAGAAGGGAGGTGCAGCCCCCCCCCCCCCCGCAGCCCACCTCCTCCGCACTGTGCCTCTCCAGCGGGTGGCTTCCTCCCCCAGGGCTTGGTGGTGGTTATCTCTTCTGAGGGGGCCCATCACCTTTCCTGTCTCTGGGGCTCTGGGAAAAGGCAGGCCGCCCTGAGCGCTTGATGTAAAACTAATAAGTACTTCATTCTCACTCGGACCTCCACCTGATCGATTGGGAAGCCGAGGCACAGAGCCCGGTGCCAGGAAGCCTGTGCTCTTTTTGGAAGGAGGTGGACCATTTCAGAGCAGTCAGCAGAAGCCGTGGTCAAGGGCACCCCAGTGTTGCTCTCCGGGCCTCAAGTTTCCCCATTTAAGAATGAGCAAAAGGGTTTTTTTCTGCCCTGCAGGAGAAAGAAGCAGAATAAGGACATGTCGAAGGCCGTGGGGTGAATGCTCCGTGCCTGAGTTCAAAGAAGTCAGGAAGTGGGGGTGCAGGCCACAGGCGGGGCCCACAGTGGGACGAAAGGAGAAATGAGGCACGGCCCACTCCTCCCTACTGTGCCTCCGGAGACAGTGGCTCCCCGCCCTGCAGTGCTTGGGGCCTCATTTTCCCTATTCCTCCTGCAGCAAATGCAGGCAAAATGATTGCCTGGCGTGCCTCCGTTTCCCCACCCACAGGGTTTGCCGAGTCCCTAGTTCAAACCGGTGCAAGATCCAGGATTTCCCCAGTCCTGTCTTATTCTTGGGGTGGGAGGAAAGCGAAGTCAAATGATTCCTTTTTTTTTTTTTTTTAGAAGAGAGATTTCAATTATTCAGTGTTTTCCATTTTTAAATGATGGATATAGAAGTACAAGCCAGAGCCTCTTCTCCTAGACATTTACAATGTGAATAGAGAACAAGACAGACACCACTTAACGAAGGCAAATAATTACAGGAGATAAATATATGTTTTTGCAAAAACAAGTTCTCATTCACATGTATACCTAAATATTGACTCCATGGTGTTTCAGTTATACCCCAAAGGGCTTTGGGGCGTCCAGGTGTGAAATAAGTCCCATCACTAGTTACCAACCAGTGGTCCATGTGGCCAAAGACCCTTTGCGGGGGCATCAAAAGAAGTGGTAGGGAGAGCAGAGGGACATATCAGATACACTTTCATTTATAAATGCACCCAAAGTTTGAAAACACTGTGGGCAATCGTAGAAATCCCAGCCATCAGCCCTGACTGGTGTGGCTCAGTGGACTGAACACCGGCCTACAAAACAAAAGGTCGCTGGTTCGATCCCTGGATGGGGCACACGCCAGAGTTGTGGGCCAGGCCCCTGGCTGGGGGTGTGCAGGAGGCAACCAGTGACACTTCTCTCCCCCCCCTTCCCCTCTCTCTAAAGATAAATGAAATCTTTTTTTTTTTTTAAGAGGGAAAGAAATCCCAGTGGTCAGTGAATGGACTTCTAAACACCCATCACATCCGCAGGCTTCACACGCACCCGCTCAGACCACCCCTCTGAGTGGGGTGCGCAGGAAGTCCGGGCCTTCTGTGCCGGCTCCCTCTGCCTCAGCTTTTTCACATCTTCAGTCACCTCTGTCAAAGGACAAATATAAGTAGTTGCGAAGCATGAAAATCTGACGCTAAAACGAAATTAGAGTTAAAGGCAGATGTCTAAGTAAACCTGTTTAAACATAAGCTTGTGAACGAAGAACTTCACTTTCAAAGAGCCAAATATTCTGCGTTGCTGAGGAAACTCAGTCCGTCTGTCATCCTGGCAAGTATTTCCACACTGCACTTTGCTGCCGCAGCCTAAGTGGGTGTACATTTTTGACTGTTAATCTATCACTAAAAGATATGAATTAGGAGACTGGAAGAAAGCATTTCGTATCCATGTTTTATTTATTTTTCTTTTATTGATTCTAGAGAGAGTGGAAGGGAGGGAGACAGAGAGGGAGAGAAAGGTCATCGATTGGAGAGAGAGGCATCGATCAGCTGCCTCTTGAATGCACCTCCTCTAGGGGCCAGGCCTGCAACCTGGGCAATGTGCTCCGATCTGGAATTGAACCTGCGACCCTTTGCTTTGCAGGACAACGCTCAACCTACCAAGCCATGCCGGATTGGGCTCTTTTTCTATTTTTTAATCCATCCATGAAGAAGGAGCCAATTGTCTGTTTCCTGGGAGGGGAATGTTTTCATGGAGGCACCGTAAGGCCAAACTGGTCCACCTTTACCATACTTTTGCCGTGTATAATGCACACCCACGATTTTGCGTGCATTATACACGGGGTTATTATACCCATGTATAATGTGCATCCTTATTTTTTCCCTCAAAAACTTGGGGAAAAAGTGCACATCATACACGGCAAAATACGGTGTTTCTCGTTCTTCAACAGACCCTGTGGTGCCACCGTTGCCCTGTTCAGGTTTGGGAAGCTCATTCAGCCTTATTGCAACCTCCTCATAAGGCAGCTTGTCCTCTTGACAAGTATCATTAATCAAATCCAAGACCCTTCCATCTCTCCGTACCTCACTAGTCTCCTAAAGCTTTGATCTTGTCAAATTGGCACCCAACCCAGCGCTGTACCTGCTACTGCGAGAGCCCAGATGAATCAATTGTTTAAAGAAAAATCTAGCTTGTGTGGCTGTTAGGAGAGTGGAAGACACTTTTCTTTACTGAACAGAGGGGTGCAGATTTGCCAAAGGTCACACAGCAAGTCAGTACAGAGCTGGCTTGAATGGGATGGGAGGATCCCCAACCCCCCACACTGGGGGCTTCTCAGATGGTCCTGCAGAAAGGGAAGTGTTGCCCTGGCTGGTGTAGCTCAGTGGACTGAGCACAGTCCTGTGAACCACATGATCGCGGTTCAATTCCCAGTCAGGGCACACGCCTAGGTTGCAGGCCAGTTCCCAGCAGGGGACTCACGAGAGGCAACCATACATTGATATTTCTCTCCTTTTCTTCTTCCCTTCCTATCTAAAGATAAATAAATAAAATATTTTTTTAAAAAGGGAAGTGAGCCCTGGCTGGTGTAGCTCAGTGGATTGAGTGTGGGCCTGCAAACCACACGATTGTGGTTCGATTCCCAGTCAGGGCACATGCCTGGGTTGCAGATTGGTTCCCTGCAGGCCAGTTCCCAGCAGGGGACGCACAAAAGGCAACCATACATTGATGTTTCTCTCCCTCTCTCCTTTCCTTCCCCTCTAAAGATAAATAAATAAAATGTTTAAAAAAAAAAAAGGGAAGTGAAAGCTGCAGAGCAGGAAATGAAAGCTGCAGAGGGAAGAGCCTTGGTTGGATTTCTCCCTAAACAGTCTTTGCTGGGGTCCCCTGCCCTCCCCAAGTGTGGGGGACATGAAACGCCTCGCTCCCTCCAATCTCCTCAGACTACCCACTACTCACCTGGAGTGACCTTTGGGACCTAATCTGTCTTTTCCACCTGCCCCTACCCCGCTCTCAGCCCTGGAACTGTCTGTGCGCTTCCGGGCCCTACCTCCTAGTCTCTGTGAAGGCTGTTTCTTCTGCCTGCAGTGCTGTTCCTGCCTTTGAGGGAGTATGGGCAGTTCTGGTTTGCTGCCAGTGGCAGGTCAGCTATCAGGAGTTTGTCCCCAAGGCTCCCTGCCCTGCGGTCACTCCTGTCCTGACGGTAGGAGGCTCCTGGAGGGGTGCTGGGGCAGGGGAGAGCAGAAGCGGCAACTTTTCTAGGTCAGGGCGACTTGGATCTGTGCGGGGCAGGGCTGGAGCAGGGCTGCTGTTGGCTTGCGGAGGAGGAGCCCTGGGGGCGAGGTCCAGGTGCGGGCCCTTGCACCTCGTGCCTGGCCCCCAGCTTTCACCCAGATGGCTTGCCCTCAGGGCTGGATAGTCTATTCAAGCCACAAAATTACAGGGTCCTTCCCACCACCCTGGAATGTTGATGGGCAACATCCCTGTCTTGCAGATGAAGAAAGGAGCCCAGAAAGGGCAAGAATCACCCCCAGGGCTGCATAGCAGAATCCGGTCCAAGAGGGCCTGGTGCCTGACTGCTCTGCTTTGGCCTGGTCTGTGCACACTCACCCCACCCTATCACCTGCTCATGCAGACACCCCGAGTGTGCCCACTCACATTTGCCCCCCCCACTCAGCAGCATGAGCAGCCCCAAGCTACCCACCAAGACCCCCCTCCAAGCCCTGGACTCCAGGCCTCACCTGGCTGACTCAACCCACATACAGCAACGGAGCCACGGAGGGGGGCCCAGCCGGTGGGGGGAGGGCAGCAGGTTGCCAGACCCCTCTGAGGTGGCCAGAGCAAAAGAATGGAGTCTCTCTCACCATTCAAGAAATTCTCTGCCTAATGACGGTTTAACCCTATTATATTAGCTTTTTTAATACCTCTTAAAAAAATAGTGCTAGGTTCACCAGCTGGTAAAAAAAAAAAGAGAAAATTGGAATTCAGAGAGGTACAGTGAGTTGCCCAGAGCCACACAGGAAAGCGAGGGTGTGGGGTCACCTAGTGCTGGGCTGGGTGTTTCTCTGCCACCACTGTCACTCCCAACCTGTTTCCTCACAGGGTGCAGAGCAGTTGGGTGTCAGTATTATTTCAGTTTCGGACTTGGGGACATGGGGCTGAGGGGCAGAGCCGCATGTTCATGGCTCCGTACTCCATGTCCTCACCCTCTCTTCCTCCCCCCCACTCCAGGAGAGGTCTGTGCCTGCTGCTCTCCGTCACCTGAGTCCTTTCTCCTCAACTGACCCACAGCCCCTGCCTCCAGCCCTGCCCAAGAAGATCCTGACCGGGGCACAGTCCTTGCCAACCCACAGGGCTGCCAGCCCCAGCCCTACTCCAGCAGGACAGGCTTGAAGGCCTCTTCTGGGGTTCCGCAGCGTGGGTGAGAGTCAGGCAGGCAATGACGAGATTGGGCCAGCCAGTCCCCCTGCAGAGCTGCCCTTCTGCTCCTTGGACACTGAGCTGGGCCTGTCCTTCCGCGACCTGCAACACTTGGTCGTGCATGCTGCACCGGAGGCCTGGCAGCTGGAGGGCCTCTGCAGTGTGCAGGCTGGCTCTAAGCCCAGCTCCTGGAGGGCCACTGGGCCCCTGCCACCAGGCCGAAGCTTCCACCTTTTAGACAGTTCAGCCTGCGTGCAGAGCAGGGATATACCCTCCTCTGCCACATGGTGTGGGTGGCCTGGCATGTCCTGGTCACCAAGGTGAGCCCCACCACTGTCCCTCCTCCTGGAAGGGCTTACCAACCTTCCGTCTGTAGGCACAACCCCTACCTGCACTTTGGGCTTAATTGCTTATTTTGCAAGTGATGTGAATTAGCACAGTCAGGCCCTGGAACAGCGTTTCTCCATCACCTGGGAGTCTTGTTAAAACTTCCTTCCCAAGGCCCTCAGGGCCCAGGAACCTGCATTTTAACTCACTGCCCTGTATGTTCTGGCTTGAAAGCCACTGAGTTCACCAGCCACAACCAACTGATAAACACCGCTTCAAATAATAACAATAGCCCTGGCTGGTGTGGCTCAGTGGATTGAGTGCTGGCCTGCAAACTGAAATGTCTCCAGTTCGATTCCCAGTCAGAACACATGGCTGGGTTACAGGACAGGTCTCCAGCAGGGTGTGTGTGTGTGTGTGTGTGTGTGTGTGGTGTGCAAGGGGCAACAGATCGATGTATCTCTCACACATTGATGTTTGTCTCCCTCTCTCCCTCCCTTCCCCTCTCCCAAAGGTAAATAAGTGAAATCTTTTCATTTTATTTTATTTATTTATTTTCAGAGAGAAAGAGAGGGAGAGAAACATCAATCTGTTGCCTCCATGTGGCCCCCAATGGGGACCTGGCCGGCAACCCAGGCATGTACCCTGACTGGGAACCGAACTGGCGATCCTTTGGCTTCCAGGCCATGCTCAATCCACTGAGCTACACTAGCCAGGGCAAAGTCTTTTTTTTTAAAGCAACCAATAAATGCATAAATAGGTGGAACAACGAATCAATGTCTCTCTCCCTGAAATCAGTAAATAATTTTTTTAAAAAGATTCCAGTTAGCCCTGACTGGCATGGCTCAGTGAATTAAGTGCCAGACTGCAAAGTGAAAGGTTGCCGGTTTGATTGCCGGTCAGAGCACATGCCTGGATTGGGGTCCAGGTCCCTAGCTGGGACTGTGTGAGAGGTAGCTCATGAATGTCTCCCTCTCTTTCTCCCTCCCTCCCCTCTCTCTAAAAATAAATAGATAAAAATCTTTTTTTAAAGAGGTTCTGTTAATAAGTCATTATCACCAAGCATCAGGCACATCACCATGTTAGACGAATCTTGTTGACCAGCGGAATGTGTTGCATGGGCCCATTTTGCAGACTGAAGTGCGGAGGGAGTAAGTTGTTGCTGACTTTTAGTTCTTTAGTGGACAGCCTGATGCTGGCTCCATCTCAGAGACCTCTGGGGACTTTATTTTTTTAATATAGACCCTCCCCAGAGCACACCGCAACACCTGTAATTTTTAAACACCCCCCCCAGATGATTCTAATGTAGTCCCCAGATCTGACGCTCTCTTGACCTTCTAGAAAGAGCTTTCTTGTCCAGTTCTGCAGCTGCTGGCCACGCCTAACTTCTGTGCATGTGCAGTGGGGTTGGTACCTCCTGAGATATGCGCTGATGTCACATATGCACCTGATCTCAAAGACTTAGTGTCAAAAAATGATCATGTAAGACATTTCAGTATTTTTTATCGGTGCTCTCTTGCATGATACCATTTTGGATGTGTGGGGTTAAAGTATGTTACAGAAATTACTTTCACCTGCTTCTTTTCACGTTTTAAAAAATGTGGCTACTAAGAAAATTTTTTTTAATATTTTATTTATTTATCTTTAGAGGGGAAGGGAAGGAGAGAGGGAGAGAAGTATCAATGTATGGTTGCCTTTCATGCGTCCCCTGCTGGGAAGTGGCCTGCAGGGAACCGGTCTGCAACTCCGGTATGTGCCCTGACTGGGAATCGAACCGTGATTGTCTGGTTCGCAAGCCCGCGCTCAATACACTGAGCTACACCAGCCAGGGCTTACTAAGAAATTTTAAATGACACTACGGCCTGTGACATATCTCCACTAGACAGCCCAGCCCTGACACTTTTGCCCAATGGTAAGAACCTGCGCCTTTGGTAGACTGGAGAGTTTAGTCTCGACATGCCATCCTCTCTGGTGTAGTTTTTCTTAAAATCATCTTGGTGACTAACGACCAAATTAACATTTAACCCCTGCTTCTGGAAGCATGTAGTTTGCCTCCCTCCTCTTCCCACTCACAAAGCCAGAGTAGGAGCAGGTTGGGGTAGGCAGGAAGGCTTCAAGGTCAAGAGCTGGGCTGGTTTGAGGGGGCTCCTCAGATCACCTGCCCTGCAGGTGATCAAGCCTAGAACCCAGAAGCCCTAGCTCAGGCTCTGGAACTTCAGGCCTCGCTGCTGAGGAGCACTTCAGCCTGCAGGGGCTGTGTGGTCTGGACTGGAGGGTGCGGCCAAACTTGGCCCTGGAGCACCTGGAGGCCCAGGGATCATTCCTGGTGGAGCTGTGCCCAAAGAACCTGCTGCTGGCGGAGTCATGGACTATTCAGCCTCCAGGGCCTTGCGCCTGCTGCCTCTGAACTTTGGCCTCATGTGCTCATGGCCACAGGAACCCCTGAGTACCCATGAACCGCAGCTAGGCTGCTTGCACAGCTTAGTCCTGTGCCCTTGGCCACGCCTTGACTCCTGGCTGCCCAGCTGGCCTGTGTGCAACCCTCTGTGGGCCTGACTTGCTGCATGCTGCAGGCACTGCTCTGGGGACCTGGACCTCGCTGGGCCACGCCCTGATGCTGCTGTAGGACTGACCCTACTGGAGAGACGTGTCTGTTCCAGGATCTCTACAAGAGGCAGGCACTCCTTCCATGGCGAGGACTGCTGGCCATGCCTCCACAACAGGTAGACACCCCCTTCCCCCTTTTCTGGCCAGATGGCTAGTGGAGTGCAGAGGTGTGAACATCCTTCCTCCAATGCCTGTTCCCATCCTGTGTTGGGGACTTAGGCCCAAGGCCTCCCCAAAGAGGCAGGTGGCTCCCTTCCAGGGCTGGGGGTTAATTGCCAGAGTTAGCTGAGGTTTTCTGAGGCCAGGGCCACCCACACCTCTTCCAGAGGACACCTATTAATGTGTGTGGAACCCTTCACCCCACCTTCCAGTAGAAGCCAAGGCACCCTTCTGGTGTTGGCGTCTGATGGTTACTGTCCTCACAAGAGCAGAGAGCGTGAACACCTCTTCTGGGGCCAGCAGGGGAGGCGCTCCTGGCCTGGAGCAGCCCCTGGTGCTGAGCAGAGCCAGTGATCCTTCCAGTGTGAACATCCTTGTCAAGAGCTACTTGGGGTCTCCAAGGGTATGGGAGGCCCACCCAGCACTGCTCACTGCAGGGGAGTCTGAACTCACCTCCCAAAGGTGCCCATGCCCTACCACCTTGCCCAAACTCTCTCCATCCACTGTAGCCTCCTTGCTGTTCCTGTGACATTAAATTCTGTCCAGCCACCCAGGCTTTGTATGGGCTGTCCTCATCTTACCTCTTCTAATTAAAGTTGCCCCATCCAGGGCCCTCTGTAGCTCTTCTCTCCCTCTGCCCGCACTCCCCTCCCTCCGCCCCCAGAGCACTGATCACCACCTGGAAGTATTTCATCTGTTACGTATCATTTGTCTACCTCCTCCACCAGGCTGTGAGTTCCCTGAGGAAAAGGGCGAAGTTTAACATACAATAGGTGCTTACTAATAGCACAGGATGATAAACTGGTATGCAAGATTCATCAGGGACCTGAAGGAGTGAACTGGGTATGTTTATACCTCTGAAAAACACACAGGAACCCAGAGGGGTCCCCCTGCCCTTGCCTGTGGTCTCCAGCCACGCCTCCTCACCCTTTGTGCCCTACCATGGTGACTCTGAAGGGAATCTTTCTAACCCCCAAATGTGACCAGATCTGCCTCCAGCTCACATTTGACCTCCTATGACTCCCCATATACTCAGAATACGGTGGATCCCCCTACAAAAGCTCTGCAAGCTCTGGCCAACCCCCACAACCCCCCCTAAACCCAATACCCTCTGTACCCTTGTCCTACCCCTAGACTAGGGAGTGCATCTAGCTGTCCCAAGCCTTTGAAAACTGGACCATCGTCACATAATATCCTATTCCTCTTATTAGAGGAATATCCTATTACTCTTAAATATACTCAAGTAACCCCTGGCATCTTTACTGTAAAAGATGCCCCCTTTGCATCCTATTTCCCAGCCAAGTCCAGGATGTCAATCTTGGGGAGGGTGCTCCCAGAAGCAGCCAGCAGGTGGCGCTGCAGTCAGGACCATCTTGTGGCCAGCCTCCCGGTTCACCCCTGCCCCCAACTGCAAGACCAGTCTCCCCCACAAGCGCTCATTATCTCAGCATTGCGAGACCTGAACCCAAAGAACTGAGGTGCACAGGGTCTGCACTTTTCCACTGGGCCTGTTTCCAGCAAGGGTGAGGCCATTCAGGGTGGGGAAGCCAGCCAGCCTCCAGCCTTGGCCATCCAGGGAAGGGGGTCCAGAAATCCAAGGTGTGGGTGAGGTAAGGCAGGCTGCCACCCAGAGCTGCCTCTGATCTGTGCCAACAGCAGTTAAGATGACCGAGAGGTAGCAGGGTAGAGCCCCAGGATTCTGAACCCTCACAGCCATGGGTCTGAGCCACGGAGCATACCCCACAGAACCTGGCTATGGCCGGAAGAGACGAAGTCCAGTCTCATTCCAGGAATGTTTTTCCTGTGAGAGGTCACGCAGCACAGCCCAGCCCACTTACCTGCAAACCAGCCCAGCCCACTTCAGCCCCAAGGTACAGCCAGCTGCCAGCCTCCAAGCCAAGTTAACACCACTGAGCTCACACAGGAATAGATGTAATCACTTTTATTCGATTTTTGAAAGCAATAGAAGGGTGGATTAATACCTATCTCTCCAAGTTAAGACCTAAAACTGTTTCCAAAACTTCAAATAAGAAACTCCTGCTCGAAGTACAAGGATAATCTGTATCACCTTAACCCAGCGATAAAAAAGTAAAATATAAATTTTTATTTAGAATTAAAGCAAATACTTCAGTATCACAAACACAATATTAAACTTCAAGAAGTATACTGCTAATTTAGAGTGAGCGTTTATTTGCACAATTACAACATGCGGACAAACCCAGAGGAAGGAATAAGCCTGGCATTTGCACCAGGCACAGCAGTTGGTCACACCACTCGCACAAAGCGAGACACAAAAAGGGAGCCATGGTCTGTGATGATGTCAGTGGCGGTGAAGGGTGCAGGCGGCACAGCTGCTACTCATCCTCATCAGAAGACTCTCTCTCAAACGTATATGCCATGAAGCAAGCGTCGGGTCTCTTGGGGACAAGGGGATGCCCCGGTCTCACAATCTCAAAGCCCATAAAGCTGAAGGTTCGGAGCAGAGCGGCTGTGGGGGAAAGGCATCTGAGCCTGCTGGCCTGCAAGAGGCTGCAGCAGTAATGGGGGGGGGGGGCAGGAAAGACTGAGGATGACCAGCAGGGAGGGTGTGGCGGGGTCCTATTAACAGGATGTCCAGACACCAAGATTTGACAACAGGACCTTGGGCCACAGAGCTTCACCCTAGGGCCAGAGGAGTGGGTACTCTCACCCCACATCCCTGCACAAGCAGCTGACAATGGGTCACCCACCTCTGTCATCACGGTTCTTGTGGAAGCAAATGAAGACATGGTCAACATGCAGCTGCTCCTCAGCAAACTCAAGAACAACTGCAAAGCTGAAGTATATCCAACCATCAGATCTGCCCACCCTCTTGCACTTCTTCTGAAGGCCCAGCCCAGGCTTCTCACTTTTCTCAGGAGCCTGATTTATGGGTCCACCACTCTTCCAGTTCTAGACCTAGGGACACTGGGGCTGGGTCATTCTCTGGGAGCCAGGGGGTCATCCTGAGCACTGGGAGAGTTTGAGCAGCATCCCTGACCCCATTCCCTCAATGCCAGAAGTACCCTCGTGTGACAACCACAGATGTCCCCAGACATGGCCCAGTGTACCCTGGGGAGGAATTTCCTGAGAACTGCTAGTCCACTGCCCAAAAGGGGAACCCTCACCCCCCAAATGATGGCCAGCCCTCACCTGTCTTTGCTCCCCTCTGGCAGAGCACCGCCTGGGATCTCAATGTAGAGGCAGCTGCTGCTCAACACTGCTCTCCAGTTAATGTGTTTGGCATCTGTGAGCCTGGTCTGGACGTTGAGAATTTTCGTCTTGTTATTAGACGTTAGTTCCTCTGTTACATTCAGCCTATTATCCTGTGCAAGAAGAGTGCCAAGTCCGCACCTTAGAAACCAACTCTCATAGGCTGGTGATATTCCTCCTCCACACCACAATTTGGAAAACCCAGGAAAGCACCAATGAGCCAGTCACCAGGCCCCCTGCAGTGATGTCATCTGCATGCAGGGCCTCTGAGGGGAAGCTGCCCTAGGCTGGGAAGAAAATGGGAGTTTGCCAAGAACTACTTGTGGCTCATGGTACAGTAAGAGCTTTGGCTACAGCTTGTATTTACATGTTCCCCGACCCTCGAATTATGAAAATTCAGTAAAATCACAGATAAAATTTCTGGTACACAGCAGGGTATAAGAAATCTCCACTGCTGAGAAGCAGATGCTACAGTTCTAGCCAGCAGGTCAGGACAGCCCCTGACCCCCACCCCCCTCCTTACCCAGTCCAGGGAGCCTTATAACCCAGATACTTACAGAGTAAAATAAATTAGCTGAAAGATTGTGATCCCTCTGACTATTCCCTCGCCCACCTGGGATCTTCAGGGGTGGGTGAGGGACATCAGGAGCACCACTGAGGCCCTGGACCCAGGTTACTACAGCAGTTGAGAGAGACCCTGGAACTGGAAGAAAACAAGTTGGTTAGGGGCACTGGTTTTTACTGACAGGGCCCCAAGCTCCAGCCACACCAACATGAAGGACAAGGCATCCCATAAGTCCAAGCGAGAGAGTGGTACCCATCTGGAACCCTGCTCTCCCCACCCTGAATCTGATGCTTACACTGGTCAAGGGGTCAAAATCAAGAACTGACTGCTAGAGCTGCTTAACAGCTCTAACCACCCCCACCCCAGACAATCAGAAACAAGGGATTACTTAGATGGGCCTTTGTGGGCAGCACTTCATTAACCAGCCCAATATTCCACTTAGTCTTTTGCCCTTTATCTACCTTAAACCAAACGAAGTCTCACCAACTTAATCCTACCTCCTGTCAAGTTTTATTTCCCACTTCTAACTCAGACCACTTCAGCTTCCCCCTTTCCATTTTGCAGTCTGTAGCAAAGATCGGAAATTATACTGCGTTAAGAAGCCAGCAACCTTCTGTTGTCGGCCCCCACTGGGCAGGGTGCGCTGTGGGGCGAGGCCCTGAAAGGCGCCCCTCCCGCCCGCAGGACTCTGATTGCGTCATCTCAGCAAAGCTGCCCTGCGCCCCGGGGGAAATTTTCACAATCGCGCAGCCGGGGCGCCAGCAGCCATTTGCTGCGCAGTGTAAACAAGTCCCAAAGTCGCCTCCATTTTGCAGGGCTCTCATATGGGGCACCCCCAAGGCCCAGCTCATATGCACTGCGGCTAAGGATCCCTTCCCATGAGGCTAAGGAAAACCCGAAGGATGGGGGTGGGGTGTGTGTGTGTGTACGCGCAGGGGGGGGCATCTAAGATCTCGCCAACTACAACTAGCACGCTCCATATCGGACCCCCACGCCCCGGAAGCGGACACGACCACGTTTAACCAAAACTTCCTTAAGAGGAGAGAGCAGCAA